AAACAAACTATATCTGCTGCACCATAAGGGAATCCAAATCTATCTGAGTGAACATCAATTTTTGCATTTGATACATAGATCTTTCCATTGGGCTGACAGCAGAACCAGCAGTATAGCTGTTTCACATCTTCATGGTGAACAATCCCAATCACACGAGTGGCTTTGCTTTCTCTGTCATCAAAGTATGGGGATATAATAAAAGTTTTGTTATCTTTTAATGGTGTTATTGCATTTCGAGCAATTTTCCCCCTACAAAGGTGACCTGTTGGACTGGCAGTTGCTGTCTGGGGGAAGATTCTTGTAGTTATTGTATTTGGTAGCCGAAGATCTTTCCAATAGCAGATTAAAATGCTTGTAAAAATAAGAATACATGCAACAATAGCACAAATATGTTTTTTTCCACAGTGTATCATTGCTGAATCTTACAATTTGCAAATTAATAGACTTTTATACTCAGTCTTCAATTCTCTTTCTCTAAAACAAAACAAAAACACAAAAAATGCACTTTTAGTGATTTGCCAAAAGAGAGTAATGTATTGTACTGACCTGTACTCTCTTAAATACAATTGTTACTGTTTTGATACCTCAAAATCTAATATGAATAGCTGAGTTCTCATAAAGGTTTGGAAAACAGATTCTCTTATACCTCCTCATTCCGAGCTTTGTTATATTTTAGACTACAATTTGGCTCAGTGCAATGGGTTCAGCTGTTTTCATATATAGTAATGGTAATATAGTGTAATTTGAATCACTTTTAGGCCTAGAAGAAACTTCATGCTATAGAGAACCCACCTACTTTATCATTTGATGTTCTGAGAAGTTTATGAAACTATAGAATTATCTTTTCACCTCTTCTTCCTAGAAAGGTGCTGTGAACACAAACTGCATTCTTTTCCATTGTGTAGGAGTGATCCTGCCACAGTCTCTCAATGTCCTGATTAACAAGTCACAAAGAAAATGTTTTCAGAGCCTAGTGTGTTTTAGAGCCTATTAGGATTCTAGGTATTCAACACTGGGATCTTTTCATTTGATAAGGTGACTGAGATTACCTCAAGTGTAAACTGCTTTTGCCACTGAAGATGCTAAGTCTCAGACCACAGTTCTAAACTGGCAGTTGATTTCAGTAGGACTAAGAAGGTGGTCTTGGAGGTGCTGCTGGACAAGAAGCTTGACGTGACCTGACAATGCACTAGCAGCCCAGAAGGCCCGTGTCCTAGATTGAATCTAAAGAAGTTCTCCCCCTCTGCTCTGCTCTCATGAAACCCCACCTGGAGCACTGCATCCAGCTCTGGGGTCCTCAGCATAAAAAGGATGTGAACCTGCTCAAGTGAGTGCAGGCAATTCCATGAAGATACTCTGAGGGCTGGAGCACCTCTGCTATAGAGTTTTCACCTAGAGACAAGGCAGCTCTGGGGAGAACTTATAGCATTTCAAAGTGCCTTAAGGGGCTCCAAGAGAGCTGGAGAGGCACTTCAGACAAGGGCCCAGAGTGACAGGACAAGAGGGAATGGCTTCCTACTGAGAGGGCAGGGTTAGATGGGATATTGGGAAGTGATGGGACATGGCTGTGAGGGTGGAGAGGCTCTGGCACAGGTTGCACAGAGAAGCTGTGGAGCTGTGGCTGCCGCATCCCTGCAAGTGTCCAAGGCCAGGTTGGACGTGACTTGGAGCAACCTGGTCTAGTAGAGGGTGTCCTTGCTTACGGCAGTGGGTGGAACAAGATGACTTTTACGGGCCTTCCAATCCAAACCATTCTATGATTCTACGAAACCTTGTTTGTTCTACTAGCGCTCAAGAGGGTGTGATACAATGTGGCATGTACAACAATGTATCAGAACCATTAACAGTTGCATGTACCATCAATAGGTGTTTTGTCCTCCCCTTGCAAATCCAAGATGTTCAACTGTTCTTCTTCATTCTCTTGGCCTCAAAGAATGGAAGAAGTTACTCTGAATGATTAATAATTCCTTCTCTAAAGTTAAAATTTGTGTTGCTCTCTGCAAATTGTCATGTGCAGAATAGGCTTTCTATATGCTCACAAACTTTAACGTTACTCAGGTCTGAAGATGTATTTCCATCTGCTTTAAATACTTCTAACACGGCCTCCTCAATTAACCAGTAAAACCCAAATATGCATTTTGTCATTAGCTCACTAGCAGCTAGGTAGGACCTTGAGAGTGGTACTTGCCTAGAAAAGATACAATATATTTAAAAGTAGGACTGCATCATCAGCTATCAGCTTGCACTGAAATACCCTATTTTTGGATGGAAACCATTCACAATTAGTCACATGCTGTTTAGTAGAAAAGTAAGAGAAAGAATATTTAAGAGTGTTTTTGTTTTGTTTTGTTTTTCCCCATAAGAGTATTAATTAGGAAGCAAGATTGAAAAATGCTTCCTGAAAACTTCAGGGAAAAAATACACAAAAAGAAGCCAACAACAATACAGATCTACTTTCTGTAGATCTAGTTCTTGTTTTTTTACCCACAACTGCTTTCCTTTTTTTTTTTTTCCTCTCCCCCCTTTGGAGGTAATATTTATCTGTCAGTGTTCTCTTTGAAGAAATAACAGAATTCTTAGCAGAGACAGGATTAGGTTTGAAGATTGAGAGACACGTAACAAGGACAGAGGACAAGAGCTTCAATGAAGTTGTAAAAGTACAGTAGTTTCTGGATCCTGTCTTCCCATCCAAGAGAAAACAAAGGGACTGAGGAAGGTAGAGAAAACCAGAGCATCGTGATAGAAACTTTTTTGTGAAGGATGATTTACTGCATAGGAGATGGGACAAATTTACTAAAGGGGGAGATGAAACAAAGTGATAATAAAGTTCTAATGTCTGTCATGATTTTTGCAGAAATACAGGATCCAGGTTTGTTTGTTTCCTTGTTTTATACAGATGCTAAGTGCAAAAAATCATTACACTATTCTGGTGAAATATGTTTTCAACAGTCAGTTTTACAGCAGGAAGCAATATGGCTTGAATAATTCTTGTTAAATTAGGCCTGGGAAACTTTGAGGAAAATTGCATTTTTAAGATTTAAGAAATAGCAGAAAACTAGTAGTCTCTTCCTGCAATAAAGACCAAATCTTAAAATACACTCTACCTTTTGGAAGACCACTACTGCCTAGCCAATGCAAAGAGAGCAATTCCTGTATATACCTCTGCACGGAAGTCTCCATCTTAGTTTAATGTACAAAGTTATGCAAAGCAGGAAGTTCACTCAAATGTTCTCTTGCCCCACACATCTCCTACGTGAAACAATCTCTTACTCCTTTCTGAACTATGTACAAACAAACTTTTGCTATTGTTTCTCTTCACTTTACGTATACCTCAATTTGGGCAATACAAATTCATCCTGATAGCTTGTTTTCAAACAGTCAGTAGTTTTAGCATGCCAACAACACTATTAACCACTTGATCTGGAAAATAGTAGACTAGCGTTCGTATTAGAAACCAGGGGCCTTGTAGGGCGTGAAAGGTGACTGTGAGTAAAACTACAACAGGGACACTAAAGAAACAATTAAGTCCTTTTTACACACAGACTTAGAACTCCATACAAACTACAGAGACACACAGAGATCCATATACTCTGTTTATATAACCTACTCACCAAGTAACTATTTAGTTTCTGGTAAGCTCCAGTGGTTACTGAGTGCCATCCCATTTCTGTCTTTCATTTTGACCTGTTCAAAGGTATATTAGTTGATATACAAATTTTTCAAGAAAGGGATGGCATCAGTTCCCCAATATGAAATTTGATTTTGGGTTCAGGCTTCTTTCAGGCCACTTCTTTTGGAATCCACTGGCTGCAACCATTAGCTGATATCCACTGAACTAGGTGATTAAAACACTAAGTTTCTCTTTTTTCAGCTTGGACAGGATCTTTAAAAAATGCAGCACTTCAGCTATTGTCACAGCAATAATTTCTCACCAGAAATAGCCACTGTCATTCTGAAAAAGGATTATACGCAAGGAGTTAAGAGATACAAATAACAATTACAGTAAGTACTAATTTGTACTGTCCTTTGTTCAAATGAACATATATCAAAGCCTCACTTCGTACAAGGTGGTATTCCAATATGGAGCAAATGAGCATTGTTTCACTTGTCTGATACTGCTGTGGTCTCTGTTACTGCAGAAAATATTTCCTGTGTTCTGAAACTGAAAAATATCTCTCCTCTTCAAAAGAGGAATTTTAAAATAAGTTAGCCACTCTGGACCTTCTCTGTTTGCTTAGGTTACTTGCAGTACAGAGAAGAAACCGGAAGACAATGTTTAACTGCAACCTGTGTTATATGAATAAAGTTAAAGAAACTTATTCACACACCAAACAAAAGAACCTTGCTTTTAATAACTGTTGTATTGAAGGTTTATAAAACACTGTCACCCATTTTGCCTGGAATAGTTACGACAACACCTCGGCATTTTCCAGTTGTTACATAAAGTGAAAAAAAACGGAGTTTATGTTTGTTATGTGCAGTCTTGGTATTTCACTAGAACACACAAAATCATACACTTCTGAACATCAGAGGAATCAAACGGCAGTGTATTTACTCACGGTTTCAAGCCTCATTGTGTAGTACTTCATGCTTTCCAATGCTCCAGTTCTGCTTCCACTGAAATGAGAGACCTCACAGCCTTGCATGTTCCCCATCTGCTTCCTCTACCATTGTGCTTTTGACTGTGGGAAAACCCGTGACTCTGTTAACTTCCTGTACAGCAAAGTTACTTCCTGTAACTTTCTGTTTCTGTCATTTTCTCTGAATAAACTTTGACTTGGAGATGTCTCTGATCAGGATTTAAACATTTTCCATTAGATCAATTGTAACCTAATGTGTTTTATCTTAAATAGCCCCTTGTGTTTTTCAGAGGAGCTTTTGGTAAGCTTAGTCCTGCTAAGATTATCTCTTTAAACTTATAATGACAAAAATCAACACAAAATTGTGTGCACAGTTATGAGACCAGAAAATAAAACTTTGTATTTAATCACATCAAAAATAATCTACCACAGCAGGAGTTTGAAATAGTAGATGGATATAATTTAAATCAACACCTGCTTGGCCGGTAGACCTGTATTAATAGCCAACATAAATGCTAACTTAAATGAAGGTGCAGACTGGGTGAGGAGACATGCAAAAGAATACAATAATTTATTTGGGGGGGGGGGGAGGGAGGCAAGCTGGATTTGTCTGTTTTATTAGCTATTTAGAGAGAAAATCCTCTCAATTTCTCTTATTAGGACTCCAGGAGAAGAAACTGGTGGGGAAGCAGCCTCAGCTACCAGGACACACTCTCTTGGTACTGTGGCGAGGAGAGCAGGACCAGCCACGGCCATGGCCATGGCCAACCACCCTTCCCTCTGGCCCAGAACCCAAGACCACCCAACAAATCTGTGGGATGAGACAGGTTTGAGGCCAAGCTGAGAAGCTGATCCTCAGGGTCCCCGAGGGAAAATGCAAGACTGCAACTGAGACAGCCTGCTGTCAGGGCCTAGACCTCCAGGGTCTATGGGGCCTGAGCCTTAAAGGGCAGACAGAGCTCAGGCAGGGGCTGAGGATCCATGGCTGAGCTTAAATGGGCTCCTGGACCCATTGAGTGGGTGCCAGATGGGCTGGTCAGGGCCATTAGGGCAATTAGTACCCACAGGGCCCCGACAGAATGCTTTAAAAAGGTATTTTTCAATAGAGGTGCAAAACCTTAACATATATGCTTATAATATAGGCCAGTTACTTAAGAAAAGAGTATCAAAAAACCACCAAACCACCAATACTAACAAAACCCCCAAAATTATTAGAAAAAGTCTTTCACCTTTAGGACTTCACATTTACTTTCATAAACCTGTGCCAGAGCTGCATCAATTTGCCCTGGGCACCACTGCATATGGATTTCCCAGAGGGCTTGTGTTCATGCCTGGAGTCTTCCTTTTCTAAAGCAACTGTGCCACCTCACAGATGGAGGTTACTCCAAACTTCTGCACTCACCTTAGACTTCCAGTTTCTTCACTGAAATTTCCATTCTAAGAGGGCTCTTCTCCTGGCCCCTACTGTGATATCAGGAATTTATTAAGCTGAAGGAAGAGCAGGAGTCAGCAAGAGGTGTCTCAGTCTGATTCTTTGTGACTCAGTATTAATAATGAGGAAAAAATCAAGTTACTGCCAATCGGACTTTGTACCAATATGGACCTCATTCCTGGCACAGCTTTCCTTGGTGGCTACATTAATCGTTAATTAACTAGAGAGAGGGGAATGTTGGGCCACATTAAAAAACATCCTGAAGTACACTGACAAGTTTAAAGTGTTTCTGTGGAAACAGAAAGTTCACTGTGAATTTCTGTTTGTTCTGCCTAGTAAAAGGTGAAAGATAAACAAAGAAGTTCAGAGCCAGGTAAGAAGGAGACCAAAGGGTTCACTTAAAACCATAAAGAATTACTTGGCCCATTTACCTTAAAGCATAGGCAAGGAAATTAGCTCATGAGAAAGATTTACAAAATAATAACTGAAAAATAAAAACATCAAGCCCCTTTCCCCTGCAACTTTAAGGCCCTACACCCATGTGTGCATGCCAAAGTTGGGCAGTTCAGCATAAGCCCAAGAGTGTTTAAACGTGTCTATGTGTGTTCCACATCACCCCTCTCTTTCCATAAATATATACAGGGAAAAAGAAAAAGCTTGTGAAAACTCACCTTTAGGATCCAAAGATCAAGTCTCTTCAGCAGTTACAAATGCACCCTGTTGGAGGCTGGTACGTGAAATAAAAACTATTCCCTCCCCCTCTCCCTTTTGTTGAAAGAATAAAAACAATTGCACTGCTAAACAATGCAGACAGGACTAGTTGGATTTCCAAGTATGCTGTACTTGAAAGCAGCAAAGAACACCTTGTAATCTAAAACACAGTGTTGTTCTGTGGTTTTTTTTTTTGAAACCTTCACCTTTCTGCACCAGCTACTTGCCCCTTTCCTTGCTTTCCATTTTTTGTCTCTTTGCTCTGCGAGAGAGTATGACATTATGTTCAACAAGTCATCTATTCATGTCAGACAGGTTCAATTTTGTAGTTTTGTATTATTACAAGAAATGGTAACCACTTGTTACAAATAACTTTCAGCATTTTCAGGGCTCTAGCAGTGTTCCTTTGTGTTCAAAAATTATTTTATTTTATTAAGACAGTGGTGTCAATTAACAATTTATATGTAAAATAACTTATCTAGATGGTTGGTTGCTACTTTTATTCTGCATAATTTGATGGATTTTTCTCTATATGGATACGATTAAGAAATCTATTTGTTTTCTGACCTTGCTTGTTTGCTTTATATTCAGTTACATCATGCTTGCCAACCCAAAGCATGGATTGTCTTAAGCAAACGAATCAGTTGAAACACACCCTAACCCCAACTCAACCCCCACTCCAGTCTATTCTTTCTGGAAGTTGAAAAGCTGATTTCTGGCAGAAAGAACATGGCTACAGATGAAGTCCAGAAATATAAAGGATACTTCCTCCAATTCATTACTATCTGCACTTCCTAAGCACAACTGTGTTTTAGTTGATGCAAAATGGGTGTTTTCATCCTTCCTAATGTGCTTATCTGACTTGCTCTTACCTCTGAGGTCTATTGAGACGTGAACTTTTACTTTTTTTTTTTTCTTCACAGCTCCTCCCCCCCTCCAAGGAAAGGTCTGGTATATTCTCCAAATTTGATAAACAAATCTCCAGAGTAATAGGTCACAGCTATGGAAATACCACAACACCATTATCTATTTCAGAAGAGAAATTAATGCAATTTACCAGTGCCATTCCTTGCATACCCAAGCACAGCCTGGCATCTAACGTAGGAACAAAGTTCTTTGATATTTCCTTTTGCTTTTTCTCTCCCAGGTTACAAGACAAGAGGCTTGGACGTAATGAGCGTTTAATGAGCTCTTCAGTACTCATCTTTGGGTGTCGTATGACAGAAGTATGTTACCTTATAGTGAAATACTGCAATGCAGAAAGTAGTCCTCTCTCCCCCCTGCAATTTGACGCCATAACAATGTCAGTCTTGGATATTGTGACTGTTGGTTTTCCTTTCTAATACTTTTTCCTTTCTTTCCTCTGTGTATTTTCTATCCTGTTACCTATGCGAGGGAGAATAATTCCAATCAATTTTCCCACTTTAACTGATGCTATTAGCGAAAAGAACCATTTGGTAAATACAAGAGACACTTATTGATGCTTGATAAAATATTTACAATTAAACATGGGACATGACCTGGAGGAAAATTGTCTAGATCCAACTTATTTCTAAGACTACCAAGCAGTAAGAAAAGTCTTTAAACACTCAGTAAGAAAAGTCTTTAAACACTCTTCCTGTTTCTGGGGGACAACAGGAAAAGGAGTCCATTTTAGGGAAAGAATATATGCTTTCTTTTTCAGCTGTAAAAGTAGTGATTTTATATCAGTCTATTCTGCTCTCATCTTCACATTAGGTAAAATTAAATTTGTCCTCAGGCAAATGAAATTATGTTTCTGCAGAAATGAAGGCACCTTCACTGCCAGTCACAATACAGAGCTAATTTACCTTGAATATGGAATAATAAAATTATGGAATGGTTTGAGTTGGATCACATAGTCCAAGTCGCCTACCCTGGGCAGGGACACCTTCCACTAGATTGGGTTGCTGCTCATAGTCCCATCCAACCTGATACTGAACACCTCCAGGGATGGGGCAGTCACCATCTCTCTGGCCAACCAACCTAGTGTTTCACTATCCTCATCAAAAAAGGCTTCTTCCTTATATCTAGTCTGAATCAACCTTCTAGATTTAAACCATTATTCCTCCTCTTATCACTGAAGGCCCTACTAAAAAGTCTGTCCCCATCTTTCTTATAAGCCCCCTTTAAGTACTGAAAAGCACCAATGTCTCCTTGGTGCCTTCTCCAGGCTAAACAATTCCAACTGTCTCAGCCTTTCCTTACAGCAGAGGTGCTCCAGCCCTAGGATCATTTCTGTGGCTCTTCTCTGGACCCGCTGCAGCAGGTCCACGTCTTTCCTATACGAAGGACTCCAGAGCTGGAGGCAGCACTGTGGGCGGGGGTCTCACCTGAGCAGGGCAGAGAGGCAGAATCCTCACCTGCTGCCCACTCTGCGGGATCAGCCCAGCACAGGGGGAGTTTCTGGGTGCCAGCATATGTGGCTGGGGCATGTCGAGCCTCTTACCCACCAGCACCCCTAAGTCCTCCCCAGGGTTCCTCTCAGTCTGTTCATCAGAAATATGTCAGCCTCAGCCACTGCTTGAGCTTGTCCAGGTCCCTCAGGATGGCCCCATCCCTCAGATGTGTCACTGCATCCTCAGCTTGATGTGATCTGCAAACTTGCTGAGTTTAATTTAAAGTGCCACCAAATTTAGGTTTGTCTCTGCTTCTTTGGACTTTCCAAATCCCACTTGAAAAACCTGAAAATTTGGAGGGGTTTTCCTTTTTATCTCAGAAATTTTAATTCTGTTGTATTTATACTATCAAATGCCTACACACTATGCACTCTAAAACCTCTTCAACTGTATTACCATCCATTCACAAATAAAACATGATTGCTGCCTTTGAGCTAAAATGTTCCTTCTGTACCCCTACTATTCTTTTTCTGCGTATTTTATTGTTAACAGCATACATAATCTGCACATTTTTAAACTTACAACCAAATCCAACTGCTGTTGAAGTAAACAAACTTTTTTTACATTAAAGTATTTAATTAATGAACCAATTATTATCAATGTAACAAACTGAAAAACACGGCAACCTGATACAAGACTGAGGTAACAAAATACTTTGCCAAAAACCTAGATTCCAATGCCAAGGTTCTTATGGGTAGAGAGTTCACAAGAATTATAGAAAGAATCCTTTACACAAATGGCATGCAGTGGACTGCTGGAAAATACAGCCAAAAATAGTGCAACAGTTTTCACACAAAACAAATCAAAATGTTGAAATTGGTTTACATTATAATATGACAAGAAAGTCTCAATTTGAAAACCAGTTTCTTTGCCTCGTTTTAGTGCTATTTGGAAAAACATGCATTTTGGCACTGAATTACATAGAAATTGCACGTTTAATAAATAATATTACCTACAGTTTTTATATCTTCACAATTCTGAAAATAGTAATTATGACATAATGTTTACTTTTACATTACTATTGCAATTATTCTCTCTGTGATGGAGGAAAACTTGTATGGTTTGTGGTATTTTTTGTGCAAATGCTGTAATAATCAGTCCCAATAGGCAATACAGTGTATTTCAATAGCAGCTTTCAATTAATTATAAAGTACCAGATAACAGCAAATGGTGCCAAATGACACCATAAAACCTCTAATCAGCAGCTG